TTACAGTAACTATCTGTTAATTCAAAGTTGATTATTTTCTCTCAGAAACTTCTTATAAATTAAATAACTCGAAATCATTTTGGAAAAATATTAAAATTCTGATTGGAAATAAAGCGAATTCAGAATTGCTGCCATGTATTATTAAGGATATTAATAATAGATTGCTTAATGAAACATTTCATGGCCTCTGGTGCATCTTATGAGTCCTAAAATATGGAAAACTGAGTATGTACTATTGGTTAGGATGATTCCAAGGTCCCGACGAGGGAGGGGGGGGCTCCTAACACGATATCTCTCGAGGGGGGGACTTTTTCTTCATGGAAGCTTTATTTGGTTGGGTAATAAAATATTAAAACTGAAATCAATATTCTCTGTACAGATATTTAATTGTCATCCTGGTATCGCGAACTCGTTTCATACAAAGCTGCTGCCATTTTGCGACGATCGTTTTGTAGGCCTACACTTTAATGGATTATAAGATAACAAACTGGTAAGATTTTAAAACAGTTTCATCTTAAATTAATATATTTTATTGCCTTAATTATGTACTGTATGTGGTGAAATGTTGTGTAATAACACCATATGACTTGCACCATATCCCTTAAATGTCTGTCTAGTTAAAGTTTTCCCTTGCTAGCAACTGCTTTCTTCACGGAAGCTTTGAGTTCAAATATTTTAACTCAGATCAATGTTGTTTACTTTTGTAGCAAGCAGCCGTGTAATAAGCGAGATAATGAACATTCAGCCGTTTGTTATCGCAAAATAAAGCCCTTCAGTCTTATAAGCCTGTCGGACTTTATTCTGTGATAACAACCGGCTGGTGTAGATTATACCTTACTTAAACATAAAAAAAAAAATTGTGCAAATATGGGTAAAAGGGCGTTTATTTATGCTGCTCCATCTGATTGGAACCAGCTACAAGATCAATTTTGTTGCAAAGAGTTGGTCTCTTTCAATCGATTTAATTGTATTGGATTTAACCAATTGTACTTGCTTGATGTGTAAATCTTCATTTATGTGAATTCATGCATTTTGCTTTGCTTAAATCTCTTGTAAAAGAGATTTTAAATCTCAAGAGTTTTTATTTCCTGGTTAAAAAAAACTAAAAACGTGTCACTTGTTCTAATGGTCTGTGTAGCTGAACAGGTGAGACTATTAAACGACTGCAGATAAAAACTAACCTGTCAGTTAATATCTGCTTCATTCATCACAGTTAAACTTTACTGAAGCTTAAAGGTTATAGAGACTTCTCTGATGAACTGTTGTTTGGCAGTGCTGGCACAAACACTTTATGTTTCACAATCCCAGTTAAACCTGCCCACATGCACAAAAGGCTGGTCACATGATTTTGAGTTAAGAGTGAAAACAGCAAAGCGAAAGTATATTTTGAGTGAGTCACAGTCAAGCAGACGTGAAAGAAAAAAAACCTATTTGTTTGAGAGACATTCTTATCAAAAAAAATGTCAAGTGACGAGAAACGATACGAGAAATCAGACTTTAACCTCGACATTAAGTTCGTGAAAAACTGCAGTGATATCGGTGAGTTTGTTCTAAATATTTAAATAATGGAACCTATATCTTTTACTTTACCATGACCAAATTTCACCATAAGATGGAAATATTTCATTAAGCTAAACTATGTAACACATTAGCGATAAGATTACACTTGAGTTATAGGTACCTTTGTTGATTGTTCTTATTGCATGACCTGTGAACATACATGTTAAGAGGTGAACTTACGACTCCAAACAGACTCATTGCTCTGCCATTACAGTAGTTGATCTTGAAGGTAAAAAATAGACCATAGAAGACACTGTCACCAATTACCACTATAGCATACTTGCAGCACTGCTGAGAATGTTCTTGCATAGGCTGAAGCATACTCTTTTCAAGTATACTGTATATGAGCTCATCTTGGCCTCTATATTGGCTAAAACTTCATGCTTGGAATAAATGACAAGACCGACAAAAAAATAATCTTTGAGTCGTTTCCGTCAGATCCATATGATGATGATCCAGATGTTTTAAGAGCTGAATTATCCTGCGGTCACTTCATTGGCCCACAGACACTGACAGACTACTGCAGAATACAACTGGATGACGTAAGAAAAGTGTAGTTTAGTTTTCATCATACGCAGATTTATTTTCTTTTTTTAAGCTATTGTACATAGTGCTGTGTGCATTTTTTAGATAATGCAATAATAAAATGTCTTGATAATACAGACTATTGCTCAAAATGATGAATTTCAGGGTAAAGCCGAGCTGAAATGCCCTTTGTGTGAAAAACAATGGTCTTACACTGAAGTGCGAAAATTAGCCAAACTTACACCTGAAGAACAGCAATACTTTGAGGAAGTTCTTGCAAACAATGCCATTAGAAGGTTATTAGACATCAAGAATGTAAGTATATATATCCTACACCTTTTTTTCTTTCATAAATTATTACGTTATTGTTCATAAGCTCTTGTCTCTAGTGTCCTGGATGTGACTGGGTCATCGAGAGATCAGACCCATCCAGTCTCTGTGTGCAGTGCAGCGTTTGCTCTGTAAATAAGGGCCGAGACTTTGAGTTCTGCTGGCAGTGTTTGAGAGAATGGAAAGGTGATCAGCCCCGTTCTGATCGATGTGAAAATGAAGGTTGCAGCAACAGCGATCTGGATCTGCTGAGAAATTGTGCAACTACTGCTTTAAAAGATGCTGGAGGTATCGAATGTCCAGCTGTTCGTGCCTGTATAACATGTGGTTTGCTGCTTAACCACAACACAGAGAGAAGTAAAAACATTGTGTGCTCTCGGTGTAATAAAGAGTTTTGTTTTGTCTGTCTCAAGCTCACACGTGACTGTGCAAAGACAAGTGGTTACTATCAGCTCTGCTCAGATGGTGTGGCTCCACGACAGACAACTATTCCAGTTTGGAGATCTAACTAACAAATAAAAAATTTGCTTAAACATTAAGATTTTTTTTTCTTTTGCCACTGGACAAAATTAATAGTGATTAGTAATCTGTGAATTTTATTTTATTATTTTTTTTTTTTTATTATTAAAAACATTTCTGATAGTCAATAGTGTTTGGATCAGTTTGTCTAAAAGAAAATAACACTCCCCATGCTAAAAAAAAATTGTAGGAAATAATTGTTTAAATTGTCTTTTCGTTTGACTTTAAAGTGTTGATGTTCATAAAGACACTGGCTGGTGTTGGGCTAGTTACTCAAAGAATGTAATATATTACTCATTACTAGTTACTCCTTTCAAAAGTAATATTGTTACTTTACTTATTACTTTCTGGCAACAGTAATTAGTTACACTACTAGTTACATTACTGTTTCTTCACATCCCACAGAAGTTGTAACTGTGTATCTTCCACATAATTCTTACTAACAACATATTTCTGCCTCATCATTTGACCAAAATCCACATTGGATCGCAGTCAGAAGTTATTACAAACACTCAATAGTGATTGATAGAGACAGTCAAGTAGAAGTGTTGTATTAATCTCATTAATTGTCACGTGTAGCTTGAAGCTAATTGTAATTTCTCTGTTTCCCATATACGATTATATTTAATTATGTATTTATCAAATCACATAAATTTGTAAGAAACTGTTTAATTTTCCAAAAATATTTTTAATTATAGTAATATAATGTACCACATGCTGATCAGAGGGATGTGATGCCGATGTAATGCCAGAGTAAATGGTAACTGTAATATTATTACTGAAATCTACTGCAAAAAGTAATATTATTACAGTAACTAAGTTACTAGTAACTAGTTACTGCCCAACACTGGTGTTTAGTACATAACAGAAAAATATGATGCACATTTTAAAAATACATTGCAATAAACATTAAGGTCTTTCAAAGTTGTTTTAATTTACAATTAGGTATACACTAAATGGAACATTGATATGTTTTGGTTTTATTGTAAGTGAAAATTCTGGTTCATATTATAGCTAATTTTGTTTATGATGACAGTAAGATATGTATATAGTATTGTACTGACCTACATTACATTTTTCATAACTTTTCACACAAAACACAGTGAGGAGCAACATCAGTCTATGTGAGCTAAACTGTGGATCATTTATCATTGATTTGGCACAAACTACAGTCAATGACAACACCTTTCAAATTACATGAATTATTTTCTCACAAACACCAACAAAACTCCTCTGGCCAATTTTCACATTTTCATACTTCTGTGTAGGCCTACAGGTAAGCAGATGCACCCAGAGTATAAACGCAATGCATAGTGTCTTGTTAAACATTTTTCCATAGAAATATATTATAAAATAAAAGGTTAATGTGCTCGCCTGTTATGCATCATTAATAAGATGTATATTGAATATGATCTTTTAATATCACTGTTTTAGTACATTAAGGCACTTGCAGGTGCAGTATTTGGAACACAAGTGCTTAAAACTTTCATTTTGAGAATTCATCAAAATATTCGCTTCACTAATAGCATAACACTTGCCCACAACTATCATAAAAGATAAATTCAAATCTTTGAAAAAAAAAAAATAATAAATTACAGGCAAGTTATCTAAACTAAAAACAAAGGCTTAAAATTTCATTTAGTATGATAAATGTATCTGGCAAATCTGTTGACTGAAATCTGGACCTCACTATTCTTGAAAATGTGTCATGTATGAACAGGTGTGTGTGTGCATGTGAACTTGTATTCACTATGTCATGAGAACCAAATATCCCCATGAGTATAGGAATACCAGTAAATGTTGCCCTTGTGGGGACATTTTTTGGTCCCCATGAGGAAGCAAGCTTATAAATCACACAGAATAAAGTGTTTTGAGAATCTAAAATGCCTGTAGTTTAGTGTGAGGGGTAGGTTTAGGTGTAAGGTTAGGCTAAGACGATATAGAAAATACAGTTTGTACAGTAGAAAAACCATTACACTTATGGAATGAACCCATAATGATAGGAATACCAGTGTGTGTGTGTGTGTGTGAGAGAGAGAGAGAGTGTGTGTGTGTGTGTGTGTGTGTGTGTGTGAGTGCTATTTCCTACATTATGGGGATCAAATGACAAATGGGGTCATTTTTTATTTATTTATTTATTTGGTCCTAATGAAAAACAGCTCATAAATCATACAGAATGAAGTGTTTTGAAAATGTAAAAATGCAGAAAGTTTTGTGTGAGGGGCAGAGATTGTAAGGGGATAGAAAATACAGTTTGTACAGTAGAAAAACCATTACACTTATGGAATGAACCCATAATGATAGGAATACCAGTGTGTGTGTGTGTGTGTGAGAGAGAGAGAGAGTGAAAAGAACATTTAACCTAGAAGCTACTGAAAAAACATAGAGGGTGAGGAAACAAGTTAGACCTGTTAGATAAAAACTAAACTTACAAATAGTCACATGTGAAGTGATTCCAGCTGTTGAAAACAAGTACATTTGTCTGTAAGTATCAGTGTACATCTGTACAAGAGCTGAAGAGGTTAAATCAGTGTGTCAGGAGAAATTTTACCTTTACAAAAGTGATTTTATAGAAGAGCAGGTAACTTGGAAGTAACCTCAAATTTTACATTAATGAAATATGAGAGAGTACATACTGTTAACAGTGAGCCAGGAAAACAGTGAACAGAAAAATGGAAAACAATGGATACAGTCTTTACAAAAAGACATTTCCTCTGCTGTTGCCCCGAAAAAAACTCCATATAGTTATTGTACAGACATCATAATCTTCAGATTCATGTCTAATCTTTTCCAACTCTGATAATAATGCTTACTTTCTGACCAACTAACTCTATCAGGGTATGTTCAGTTAAACACTCCCATCTGACATTATATATGCAAAACAAAGTGAAAGTAAAACTGCGCAGTCACTTTTGTATTTCAGCTCATATCGACTAAACAATATTGTCTTCAACAACAGATTCAGAATGGCGTTTCAGGTCCTCATCAACTTTAATGAAAAGAAGAATAAACCACTGCATGTGGCGGATTCATCTGAAAAGTTTAATAACACCACCATTAGAGAACTGAAGGAGAAATTCAGAACTTTACTTCTTGGAGCGCCTGGTAGGTTAAACATTTATCATTTACTGTTTAAAATCATGTAACTTTTTGTTTTCTTTGTGTTGACATTTTAATACAAAATGACTAACATGTAAGTAATTTGCAATTTTATATCAATACCTGTTTATATACAGGTGGGATACAACGGGGCTAAAGGCACACCTGAAGGAAAATGTGTTTTTCACTATAAAAAAAAAAAGCAACAAAAGTTGTCACTCGGGTGGTACCTTTTACCTTAACGAAAAAATAAGATACTAATATGCAATATATATTTAGAAAGGGTACCACCCTACAGTGACAGCTATTGTAAAAAATAAATAAATAAAATATAAGTTTTGCATAGTATGTGCAAAGAGTATGATTGCTGAAAAAAGATTTTATTGAACACTCATGGATCAACACATTTTGTTGGAAAATAAATCATTAAAGTGGTTTGTTTTACTTACAATCTTATGAGGTGGCAAGTAAGGTATTTTACCCCACACACAGGGCAAAAGGCTAAAAGTGTTTATACAAATACTTTAGCTAAAGTAATATGTTTTGAATTATATCTAAGTTAATCCTTGTTCAAAACATAAACTTTAGCAAAGTTTGTTATGTGTATTTTATTAAATGAAAGAAATGTATTTGTTTAATAAATAAACTGTCATTAAAATATTTTTTAAGAACACAGGGAAAAAAAAAAAAATTCTGAAAGCTTTAAAGGAGATATCATAGATGTAATATGGCTTTATAGTAACAATACATTTTTTAGTGTTATTTTTTAGCATACGATTAATGTCATATTTTTAAATATGATGGTTTCATTATAAGTATGGTAATTATCTTTAAGGTGGACACACAACTTAATATATGATATTTATCATCTGAATTTAACCAGGTAATGTAAACAAATGGAAAAGTCTGCCAGCTATTTATTATTATCAGGTCAAATGTTGTGCCTTTTGACAAATGCCATACTTTTACATATTCTGTAAGTAAACAGATGATTTAATTACCTGGAACAAACTATATAAATCTACAAAAAAAAAAAATTATAAAATAAATGTTAGATCAAATTTGTGCAAATGTGCCTTTTACCTCTTTGCGCTGTTGTAACCTATTTGTTTTAGGGAGCATTTCAAAAGTCTAAAAACATTTGAAGATTCATGTGTCTTTTGAGATCTTTATCACATATTATTGATGTTTTTCTTGTATCAGACACAGATCACTTAAGGGTGTTTTTTGGAAGAGAACCCCTAGAAGACCATCAAACACTTGAGTTTTATAAAATTACACATGTATCTGTTCTTTTCATTGTGATGAAGATGCCCGTTGGAAAAGGAGGTAAGACATGTTTTCGTATGCTTACACTTTGTCTAGACATTAAATCATGCAATTTGTCACAAGAGCTACAATGTTCAATGCAACGTTTATAAGATATATTAGTGCACAGAGTCAAGTCACCTTTATTTATATAGCACTTTATAAAGCACAGTGTTTCGAAGCAGATTCACAGTAATAAACAGAAAAATGACATGCAAACAGTATTGCAAAATTCTTTAACTATGAAACGGTCTAATCAGCTATAAAGCCACTTTTAGTCGTTATCGATAAGTTTTAGTAATTTTGTTGTATGTTTTGTCATTTTTATTGGTTTTTGTTTAATTTGAATTATTTTAGTACTCCAATTTAAACTAAAACATATGAAGTGTTTCCTTGGCAATTAGATGAAATAAAATAAACTACGGTTGTGCTCAATTTGAATGAGTAGCCAAACCCTATTCAGTCACTATATGAATGTAATCCTCTGTTTCAGCTGCACAGTCAGACCCAGACCTGCAGTTTCTGCAAAGTTTGCTGCCTGGCCTAAAGAGAATGGATCTCAAAGAAAGAGAGCTCACCAAACATA